GCTCTTGTGTTTTAGGTTTTTTCTCTGCTGTCTTTACCTTGTAATTGACCAGTTATTTACAGATCTATCTCACTTATTCATCTGTTTTCTGTCAATTGTAAGTTCCTTGAAGATGGGAATTTATGGCTTTAATAATAGACTGCCTTGCCCTGTATGTTTATTTGTTTATTTACTTAATTTGTTTTTAAAACTGCGATCCTCTTGTATAAAAAATGTCTTGCTCAGAGTATGCACTGCTATAGGACTGATGGGTGAATACAGAGGGTGGGATTTTGGAGACCAGCCTTAGCTTTCTGGATCATGGCTGTGCTGCACTGTCACTGCCCCTGCCTGACACACTTCAGACTTCATACCTGGTGGCCATCCACTGCTCAATCCTCCAAGTTTCTTTTCCTCACCCATGTCTCTGTTGCTCTGTGCCCACCACTGTAAAAGTGTTTTCTGGCTCTTTCCACATGACTCTAGCTACACTAAATTCCAGCTTACTCCCTGAGAACACCTCGTCTGCACAGCCTATCTCCTTCCCTTATTCTCCTCAGAGAATATTTTTCTGTCATGTTAATCTGTCAAATTTATCCTGCATCCTGACAGTATGTATATTCATATCCATGGATGTTCCGTATGCCATGTATGTTTAAGTTTCTCAATGTTTCCTTTTCTCCTTGCAACTTTGGAAGCTCTCTGAGAAGACAGAGTATGTAGGGAGGACTGCCACCCAGCGGTGCAGCCTGGCCTGAGATACAATGGAATCTATCAGCTCAGGGAAACTGCTTAGGATGCACACTGGTGGTACGTGCTTTTTAACAGAATGATTTCAGGATGTTGTTTGTCTCTAGTCTTCTAGGTCACTGAAGCTTCACTAGTGTTTATATATACGTATTCATGTTTAAACAGACATTCAGAAACCTTTGTTATAGATTAATATTTACACATTTCACTTAGTGATGTTGAACATGGAAGAATTAGTTAAAATATTGATTGTACTTGAACTATTGGCTCCTTCATCAAACACTTTGGAGGCTCAAAGTATGAGAACGCTTTCTCATGGGTCTCTGCGTTTATGGAAAATCTTTTGCATGGTGTTTCCATAAAGAAGTCAGATGGGACTGAATTTGGGATTGCTTGCCCATCTCAAACCTTGCTGTGCTCCATGTCCGGTGCTGATTAGCTCTGCATTTTTACCCGCGGTGCATTGGCTTGGGTAGAAGTGCCATACTCCCTATTTTGGAAGAGCTTTCTGCACTGAGTGTTCAGTGCCTGACATTTCAAGTAGACATGTTATTAACTGTGACTTCTTAGGTGACTGAGGACTGAAGCTTTTTAATAATAGTAACTGACAGATACTTAGACACCTTCATTACTCATTAACCATTTCTGGCGTGAAGAAGACAAGGGAGATATGACAAACATATAACCTCTATTTTCAAATTAATTCCAGCATGATTTTATATCTAAAAACAAACATATACTTAACTCTTTTTAAAATAAAATTTATTTATTTAATGTATGAGTGCTCTGCTGCTTATGTATACACAGGCCAGAAGAGGGCATCAGATTCCCTTACAGATGAGTGTGAGCCACCACGTGATGGTGGGAATTGAACTCAAGACCTCTGGAAGAGCAGCATGTACTCTTAACCACTGAGCCATCTCACCAGCCCTACTTAATTCTTTAAATCAAGCTTCAAACTTCATTTCGAAGTCAACTTTGATTCTGCAAAAGAATTGAATGTGAACTCTAAGAAATGTATGGACCTAGTATGTGGCTCATTCTGGTTATGTATGTGTTTTGATATATATATATACATAATCTTTAAACTGTGTATTTGGTGTGCTTAAAAACAACATTGATGTCTGATTTTTAAAAAATTAAACAGAGTCACTACAGTAGCTACTTAATTCTTATATTTTTCAGTAGTGCCAATCGAGAATATAATGTAACAATTCAAAAAATTAACATCTGCTTTCTACTTGTATTATTTCAAATCTGTGACAGGCAAAATATTTATTAAAAGCAATATTTTTCATCTCTTCTCTGGTGCTGACAGTTTTGATTTGTGACATCTGTTTCTTTTTCTAACGCAGCTGCTCCAAAAGCTTAATTAGTTTTAAATGAATGAGAATTGATGTTGTCTTGAAAAAAAATTGATTTTCTAATCCCATCATGGATATTTTCAGCCCTTTGAAATGTACTGGTAATTTCAAGTGGGAGTCTGTGTGGTTCCATCAAATCCAGGCCAGGTTTCGGTTTCTGATAGAGTGGGGTCACCCATGCGAACAGTGTAAGGTTAGCAGGGGTGCTGTTACGCTTCCTCCCTGTCTTTTCTATGCAATGAAGAAATTCCACAAAGTGTGCAAAGTTAGTTAAAACCGAGGTACTAGTCCTAAATCCGTATGTATGTGTCAGGAGAGAGACTTCAGATTTGAAGGAAGTTTTCAAATTTGGATGGTTTTAGCTTTGCCATCAATTTACTGGTAACAGCGTAAATGAAGTCTACTGAAAAATTAGGAACGTTGTATGAAAAAAAATGAAACACTGAACTCCGTTCACCCGTGTCTGTCCCTGTGGTAGCAACCCACCTATGGAGCTCTCTCAACTCTGAGGGATAGACGGGGTAAGAGGCTGCCAGCACAGCAGTCAGATGTAGAACCTGTGTCCTGTGTCTTTGATGGCAAAAAAAGTCATCTGGGGGCTTAGTTGCAAGGTGATGAAGATCATGATTAAATTTGTTTGGTCTCTGAAGCAAGGTTCTTGCAACATTGTAAAGTTCTAATTATCCCAAGTGAATTGGGCTGTAGGGACAGATGGGAGTTGTGAGGTTTGTATCATTCTGACATGAATGGTAGCAGGGATAGTAGACAGGTATTGGTAATAATAGAGCACTAAACAGTTTGTTTCTGGCTTAACATTCATATTCCTGAAATTTAGCATCTTGGGAAATGTTCAAAGCTTTGTCGTGGAGGTCTGAACCTTCAAAGACAGACATAGTTGGCTTTCAAGAAAAATTAGGATGGATTGCTCTAGGTTGAGTTACTCAGGGTCCAAAGGGGCTGCTGTGGATTGGGGGTGAGATATCCTGCCATTTCAGAAAAGCTGTGGGGTGGCCTGTGTATCCTGAATTTCAGTATGGAGAAAAGACAAAGGCCAGTGGCAACACGTCTAGAATTCCTAACAAGCATGGGCCCATCTCTCTGCATTCAACCACCATGCACTACAGCATTCACAGAACAAGTTCTCTGTGCATGCTAACACGACTGAGGGAAACTTATCAAATCTACTATCAGTGATGGCTTTAATTACTTTTTTTTTCTGTTACTGAAGTTGCTTCCACCCAAGGGAGCGTATACGTGCTCTGCTAAAGGAGTTACTAAAAGGACATCTACTAATGTGTTAAGGTGGTACTCATGACCATCACTCTTAGCCATTCAATAGCGCCTGGTCAAAAGGCTTAGATTGGCTATAAGATTTTAGTTAAGAAATAAAATGACTCAAATTTTAGCAATCTCATTTCAATTTATGTGCTTACTGTCACACAAGCTCTTAGCCCTGCCTTAGTTATTATTCATAATCCAGAATGCATTTCACCAAATAATTATGACTATAAAGTAGCAATAACTTGCTCTTCAGCCAGAATAATAGAACTGGAAAGCATGAGTGGGTGAGTTAGTCTTTTCATCTTCTTTCTTTTTAATTAACAAAGCAAAGTACCATTCAGAAAAGTCTAGTTTATAATAGTATCTTTTCAGGTGCTCCTAACCCTAAGATAAAGGAGATGAAAAAACATCACACAATTCAGAAAAGAATAAGTTGCCTATAGGGAGATATAGCAAGAAAGGAAGCCTCACAATTTTCTTTGTATGTCTGATTGGTCGTAAAAGTGCAGAAAACGTGCTGACTCACCAGTAGATGAAGTAGGACATGTAAGTGCAATGAAGTCACTTGGGTATAAAGTATTTGTATTGCAACAGCAAGTTTGATCTAAAGGGCAGAGCAGGGCAAGCTCTGGCTGAAGGAGCTGAGACTAGACAGAGAAGGAATTCCTTCTACCGAAGCTGTGACCCTGAATAGAGGAGGCAGCAGGCACTTGAGCCCCACCTGGTGACTCAGATGGTTGCATAAGACCCACACGAGCAAGGAAAGGACACCAGGGTGCACTTTGTGGGAGGAGGAGGTGTGACACTTGGGTTTCTGACTCTTCCCTATATCCACGGCCCCTTGGGTGAGTACTTGGGTGAAGGTGATGGACGCACAGCAGAGCCCAAATCTCAAAGCTGAAATTCCACAGCAGTTTCAAGTCTTAAACTGTCAAGCATTTGGGTAAATTAACAGCTTCTTAGACTGTCATGTTCTCACAGAAAAATTGAGAGACAGAATCTGTATTTGTAAAGTCTCTCCTCCTTCCCACATTGAAAAAGCATTTTGATGAAATTTTAGAGTAGAGTTTCATCGGAATGCTATTTTATAGGCATATATCCATTGAGTTAAATAGTAGAGGGACTTAATCGTGTTCAAATGTAGAAATAATAGTGTTTTAGAAATAATTTCTGAATCTAAATAAAATTTCAAATGAAAAGTTTTGGCATGGTGATTATTTCTTGAAAAGCCAAGCAATTTTTAGTAAGCGCAAAGTTTAAGAAATACCCTCAATTTTTTCCTTTCTTCTTTGCATGTTACAAATGCTTATTTTGCTATTAATACTGCAGCTTTTTTTCTATAAAGCAGGACAAATTTCCCCCTAAAAGTGATCACATAGACATCAATGAAGAGAAACAAAAATATTTTTGGTTCAAATAGTCTTGACTATGAGATTAGCTGTCTTTGATAGGCTTAGCATATCTTTAATCATCGTTTCTAGAGAGCCCCTCACGTTGGTGACCTGCTAATTAGAGTAGATGTAAAGTAGACTTCAGTAAAGTCAGTGTTTTTGGGAGGTTCAGATAGATCAGTTGGATCAGTATCTTTTACTTTTATAGTTAAGACTTCAATAGTATGAGAGCAAGTTTAGAAAACATTTTTATTAGACAAATTATGTAGACAAATTATACACAGAAAGCTCTGCCACTCATAATTGAGGCCTCCAAAATGTTTTGTGTACTTGAAGAATAGGCAATACATCAAAATCAGCCTATTTCCAGTATTGTACATGGTTAACAGTTTGTTGATAGCTGAAGTCACTGCAGCATCTGGGGTGCCCCTATACAGCTGTAAAGACTTTTCTGTTTGAAAATCAGAGTTGTAACTGAGAACATGAATGTCACAGGGAAACAAGGTGTGCATGCACCGCGGGACTCGTCACCCTGGAAACAAAGTGGTTTCTCATGATAAGACCATTTTCTGCCTGACACAGTAGACAATATTTGAAGATTTAGTACAAAAACAGTGACAGTACAAGATGCTCCCCAGAAACAGAATTAGATCAAAATAGAATACATTTTAAGAGTATATCTCTTAACTGCTCCTAAAGCAAATCACATAGGCTGGATCCTCTAGCAACCCTAGCCACAGAATGAGTGAGATTAAAGTAAGCATACGGCTGCCTGAAAACACAGGATAAACTCCTGCTTCCTACTTACCACGTCGAGTTTAAGGATTACAGATGAAGCTCACTCTATGTTTCTAACAGATAAGAATGCTACCTTTAGAGGATTGTGCACAACGAGGCACTGGTTTTTGCTCATCGCCCCTGCTGACACACTTGGCACTGATTTTAAAAGGACAGGAAACCTCAAGTGGGTAGAAGAGAGGTTCAGATGAGAGCCCAGGATGGTTGTCACATATTTGCTGTAGGGTGATGTATGACACATATAAGGCCACATCAACACTTGAAGGGGCTTCCCCTCCTCCCCAGCTACAGTTACAATGATTGGCTTGCAGCTTTGGAAGAGGAAGTTGAACCTACCATGATCTATAGTTAAACTCTGCTCTCTGTGCTGTGTGTGGGGTTCGACTAATGACATTTCCCATTTAGATAATTAACAAAAGGTAAAATTATCAAGGTTAGCTTTATACACTGCTGAGTAGTGAACACAAAACCTATTCAAATGAGTACATCTAGGAACAAAGATGAAATCACCCTGGATGTTTTAATAACAAAATTATAAAATAGTCTCTTGGCAAACAACGCAGGTCAGAATGACATTAAAGCAACCTGCCTCTCCAACTGAAAAGGCCTCCGGCGTTGCTGTAGCTCCTGTACACAATGCTTGGTTTTTAAACTAAAGCTTTATTAAATGAATTGCAATAGCAATGGCTGCATTTATATATATATACACGTTATATAGGTGCATATATATGTATATATGAGATACTAAGTTATTTAACACAATAAAGGCCTTTGCCATATGGTAAAGTTTACTGTACATAAGAAAAAGTTTGAATACTGTACAATCACATGAAGGGGGTGGGCACTGCTGCAGTGCGAGGGGGGTTTTAACTGTAGTCTTGACTGGCAGATTAATGGCTTTTTTTGTAATCCTACAAAACTGCATTCTCATATTGCGTGGCCTGAATGGTCTTCAAATCATTTCACAGACACCGCGGGGGTTGCCTTTGGTCCACAGTTAAAGGACACTCGACAGCAGTGAAGGATTTTATGGATGCGGTTGAAGATGGAGAAAGACTGAAGTTATTGCAATTAGAGTTTCAAAACAGAGGAAGGGTGGGTGCATGGGAGCCCTGTGTGCAAAGTCAACCCTGCAAGTGTTCTCAGTGACTCAGTGCCCAGTCCCTAGACTTGAAGTACAGTAGATGAAAAGCAGACTAATAGGATCCTAGAATACTATATTCTTGGGGAACAAGTTGAGTAATGAAAAAAATGGAGGGTGATAGACAGAGAGAGGGAAGAAGAGGAAAAAAAAGTAGAGTAAGGGAGAGAAAGAACTAGAATTGTTTCTAATTATCCTGATTTCTTTTAAATAAAACACCACATCCATGTTAGTCCCACATTACAGTTGCTCCTTTCGGGGAGTCCTAGGATGGGCGGAGCTGTCTGCTGCTCATATGGACGTGCCTCGGTCGGGGTCATTGCCCAGATTGAGCCCCAGAGTGGGAGTAGGCTGATAAGGAATAGATGACATTGTTTTGATAGGACTCCTGAAAAAGCCCCCATTAGGGGCCCTGTGCCTAAAAGGGCCAGTTCGGTGCTCAGGCACACTGCCGAAAGCGAAACCAGAGGCAGCTTTTGCTGAGAGTGTGCGGCTAAGAGTCTGGATCTGTTCTGGGATGAAGGTGGTGGTGGTGATGTGAGTGTTTCTGAAATCACTGATCTGCTCCAGGGCTTGTCGTGTTGGCAAAGTGTCAATGTCCAGAGGGGTCAAGTCAATTGACGAGGTGGAAAACTGTTTATGGGGGCTGTCGTCATCTGTGCACAAGCTATTTACACGTCTATGGAGGTGCTCCAGGTCAATTTCCTTGTCATCCTGGAGATGAAGAAAAAGAAAATAAGGATCTCATCAGTACTAGCTTCCATGGTTTAAAAAAAAGTCGTTCAGCAAACATGTAATTAACTGAACTTTGGGGCATATTCATTTAGCAGATATTGACTGGGCCCCTAGCATGAGCCAGGCAGGCATTGGGCTGGTTTCTGGGAATATTGTCAGGGCTTTGAGATAAAGTATCTACAAGAAATACTTTGCTTGCAGCTGGGGCTTTAAAATGAGCATAGGCTACATGCAGCTACAAAGACACCAAACAGGCTCAGGCAGGGACAGGCATAGAAGGTCTCTCCTCCACTTCCAGTTCCAGTAACTCCGCTTAACCCTTGCCACCCCATTTTATACATGCTTCCTCTTTCAGAGTCTCCTTCTAAAGGATGTTTTGATCCATTCTACAATTTATGCCTAGACTTAAATTTTCCATTCTTAGTTGAGAGAGATATACAATGTGTTTCTTTGTACTAACTTGTCAATGACTAGTAAAGTGTTGTTTCCTGCAGCCCAGAGCTATGTGGTTCTTGAGAAGGAGTCAGCACAAGAGACTTCTTGTCAGAGCAAATATGTATACCCAGTACCTGCATCTGGTCACTGTGAGGTCAGAGGGTCACTTAGAGATCCCTTAAAGTCAGGACATGTGAATAAATTCCTTTAACTGAAGGTCAGTTTTAGACTAAGTGGGTATGTTTGTAAGAAGTTTTATTTATTTGCTTTTAGAAAGGCAATAAAGCCTCAGAGTTTCGGAGAGAAATCCTACCTGCAAACCCCTTCAGAGTTAAAAAAAATAGAATTGAGAAGAAATAAAATTTCCTTTGTGATATTTACAGCCAAGGTAAAAAAATTAAGTTGATGGGTTGTAAAAATGCCCATTAGTCATAAGAGGAGAAAATAGTTCTTCACAGAACCTGGAATGGACATCAGAAATTAGAGTAGGTATCTGTTTTCCCACCACACATGCAGTACTCTACAGCGAAAACTGCTGGGGTTCACAGCCCTGTTTCCCCTTCTTCTTTCTCATTTAAGATCCAATAAAAACATCCATTAATGCAATATTATTACTGAGACTTCAGAAGGCTGAGATGTATAATTTTATGGTTCCCACGGCAACCGTAATCTAGACATCCATCAACATCTCTAACAGTGCAAACATTTAATATCTTCTGTAGTAATTCAAAAATAGGAGCTCATGAGCCCTTCGTTTCGAGAGTCTGGAGAGTGTTGAGTCTCAGCTACAATCTGCATTAATGTGGCCTTTTGCTTTGGCTAGATGTCAGCAAAGAAACCAATATGCTTACTCTACAAAGAAGACATGCCAATAAACCTGATTGGCTTTTACCTCAGTCTCCACGTAGTGGGATTGTACATGATCACTCACACAGCTATGCAGCAAGGTAAGCAAAGCTGCTCTTAGAAACGGTACCGATCTACTTTGCATCTAAGGAGCTACACGGATCCTTAGACTGTGCAGACGAGAGTGTTTGAAAGGCAACACTACCGCGCAGACATGCACATACAAATGAGAGATCATTTTTATTTGTACATCAAAGCCAATCTTCTGCGGAGTTCCTTGTGCATCAGTCAGCCCAGGGGTGGGCAGAAAGTTTAAAACTTTCTTTGAAAATGATCCTCAAATCAAACCACTGAGCAAATTCAGGTTGCTTTTCACATCGACTCTTCAAGCTTTTTTTGTTTGTTTGTTTTTATTTTTGTTTCTTTATGCTAGTGTTTTTTTCTGGTAATGGATACATCTCACATGCCCCTTTCACTAAGGTATTATGTACAATTCTGCAAGCACTCTTACAGATAGCTCTACAAACTTGAAGATGGCCCTGGAGTTAAGCCAATGACACACTCAGGGAGATGAACGGAATCCAGAATGATTTGGTGATGTGAATTGGGCACACTTGGGATCATGGGAGAGCCCCAGACACACAGTTATGCCTCCAGATCTTCTACATACATGGAAGCAGTGACTTGTGATGGAGAGAAAGGTTACTGCTGGGGTCTTCTAGGCCTAGTCTTTAAGACACAAATTTATCTACAACTTAAGGAATCGAAAGGAACTGTTAAGTGTCTTTACTAATTGGGTCAACAAAATCATAGCCTTGAAGGATCATCAGTATCTAGCCTGAGACTTGGCATTTTAGAGCCTGCTACTGGACAGGAAACTGTCAATCTTACAGACATTACCCTTGCGCTTCAATCACCCTGAGAGCTCTAAAAGAGAACTGGCATTGGCTCGCCTTTCTGCTTCCCGCATGCTTATGTTGAATCTTCAAAGAAAGCAGAAAGGGCAGTTGCCAATGTTACCCCTTTCTCTCTGGAATCATAACCACCAGATGTTCCGAAGCTCTATCTGGGGCCCAAGTTCAAGTACCTCTTTTGATGGGACCCGGGAACCTTTCCTCCGGCTCCACCATGTCTCGAGGACGGCTATGAGGCAGGAGAGCACAATTCCCGCGGCCAGGATACAGAACACGCCTGCCAGGCTCTTGATGTCCAGGGCTCCTCCCTTCTGCTTTGCATCTACTGAGGAGTACAGGTCACACTGGCCATTCTTAGGCCACCATTTGTGCTTGAGGATGTCCATGTCGCCACTCTGCTGCAGCTCCAGGATCCTAGGGGTGGAGAAAAGAGTGCGTGTGACTTTAGCCAGGGCAACTGCCTTGTTCATAACCTGAATGGTGATGATCGTCCCTCTAGAGACGTTTGTAAGGAGGGTACTGGGAAGCCAATACGTGGATTTTCTTCTACCTTGTCTTTCTTCCACCCTCTCTCCCTTCTCTTATTATTTTACTTTCATGGGAACTCCAGTGGCCCCTGCCCCAGGTTTTAAAAATTATATTTGGGAGGTGCTGTTCTGATTTGATCTGTCACTGATATAGATCTGCTCCCTTTTCCAGAAGAGTACTGAACGTAGCTCCGGACCCTGGTGTTTTTATGAAGAGCCCTTGGCTGCTTCTAGCCAAACACTGGTGTAATGTAACCCTGTATTTGCTATACACACAGGAATTCAATTAAAATACAACTTTTATTATTTATCATGGTGTGGAGAAGGCCTCAGGACAAGTTTGAAGTTGATAAAATACATCATTTTCAGCTCTTCACACAACTGATGTACTTTTCCTTTTAATGCCAAAGGGAATGTAACCTACCTCCTCTGGGAGGTGAGAAAAACAGTTGATCAGAGGGGCCAGAGGTGGTTAAAAACTCAAGAAACACTTCCTTGAGATAAATGGGGCTGTGAAGGCTACAGCTTTTCAAAGTGTGGTTCACACAGAGGAATCAACCCCAACCCCCCAAATTTTATGCAGGTCCCTGGTCTGCACTGCATGGCTGCTTCTGCAGGGGACTTGCTCCCCAAGGTCAAAGCAGTTCTGCAGATTCCTGGCCCAAATTCTTAGCAGCCCCCAGGCATTTAGTCTTATTCCCTGAGAGCCAGCCTCAAGGGCACCGATAACCTCCAGGGTGGCAATTGGGAAGAGTGGGCACAGAATACTCAGGGCACAGAGATGGTACACTGGTTTTCAGAGCACACAATTCTTTTCTTTTTTTTTTATAATTTATTTTTTCTCAAATCATAATTCATTCACACAGGGGTTATAAACACAGAAAGGCAGGATGTGGGGAAGGGAATGACAATGGAGTGTGGGTGTTCAGGGGGAATACAGATATCTTCAGAACCGGGTATCGGCTAG